CTACACTTCAGAGTCTTCTGAAGTGTCTTGCTACTGTTCATCAGAACTTGTGTAGCGTAGAAGTGGAACTTGTCTCTTCTAATGTCTTGGCCACGCCATTCATCAGAAGCAGAACTTGTTTGTTAGATACTCACAATTAACACACATTAGAGTACCAAAATTATTCATACAAACATACTCTTTGTTATCAACAAAACTCTGAGATAAAGTTGCAGAATCAAATCGTATTCTAACACATATAAAATTCCCACTAAGTTCTATGTTTCAACATAATTCCCATTATTACAAACCTTCATATGTTCGTCTAAGTCATACTAGTCATTACAGACCAAAAGGAATTACTCTGCATGCGAAAACGGGAAAAAATTTGTGAAAATGGGAAATTCTGCACATCAGTCTGCTCATACGCGTATGGCCCTACCCCATACGCGTATGGCCTCTTTCTCGCCCCATTTCTTGCGTATCAAATGCGTAAGGCCAAAACAGTCAAATCCCATATGAGTATCATACGCATACCCCTAGAGGCGATTTTCCCCAAAAAACTTCTCTAAAATCCCCATACGCGTAATGGCTAGTCCATACACGTATGGCCTTCCCTCTATATGTGTATCGTATGCGTAACGGCAGATAGTCGTGCTGGCTTGGGGATAGGGTGTGTATCATACGCGTAAGGCCCCTGGGTGTGTCCCCCATACGTGTATGGCCTCCCTCATACGCGTATGGCCAGTCCATTACACCAAAAATTCTGCTTTCACACCAGTACGATTTCTGCTCTTGTGGGGTACTTCCAAGTTCCTAATTTTGACTCAAAGTAATATTTTTACATATAATAACTTGTAGTGTCAACCCAATTTCATTAATCACTTAATCTACAATAATTTTCTACATCAAAACCTCATTTTTCATCATCTCTCTCTAGATCTACAATGTCAATTTAGGAATTCGATGGAGCAACACCACAACATCAAATATTACCAACAACAATCATATCATAAACATCAAATTATTCATAATTCTACATAGAATCACATATGCATATCATCAATCAACAAAGGGAATCATAATACACCAAATCTACACAACCATAAGAGGGAAATGAACTCTCACTACCCTCTCATGTTATAATCATGATTTAAAGAACCCATTATGCCCCCCCCCCCCCCCCTTACCTCAGTTCTGAGTTTTGGTTCATCAACAATTTTGGAATTCTCCTTGTCTCCTTTTTCCCTAGCTTTTCTTCTCTTCTCTTCTCTTCTTTTCACGTGAAAACAGTTTCTCCCAATTCCTTCTACCACTCTCCCAATTATTCCTTATTACTTCCTAATAATAATAATAATAATTATTATTATTATTATTATTATTATTATTATTATTATATTAATAATAATAATATCATTAGTGGCAAATACTCCATTTAACCAACAATAATGTTTTTATTAATAATAATGGGATGTTTCATCCTTCACTAGAATTATCATTATTATAACATTATTCAAAGCTTACTTCAATTATCGAATCATACTAAGTTCTCACACCCCCTTAGTCAAGCCAACATAGTTCTACAAATCCAATCATCAAATGACTAAATATTTAAATGGGAGGTTACATAATACATCAGTGTATATAGGTACTTATTTCACAGTTGTTCTATCAGATGTTGGAATATATTGCAACAGAACACCATATCAATACAGCTGGATATTTATCCTTGAAGATTTGATTGAAAAATATGAGATTATGGAGGTTTCTAGTACTCATAACAAGCACAGCCAATCAAGGATTGTTAGAAATAATTGCATATCTGATTTATTTCATAAAAAAGATCTTTGAGACTTTTTAGGAAATATTTGAAAGATTTGTTTTTGTTTCTATTTTCGTGGAGAATATTTTGCAGAGATTTAGAGCTGAAGATTATATTTGATTGAAGAGTCTAAGCCCAACTGCAGAAGCCTATATAAGGAGTCGTCCAAGACCTAGTTTCTAAGCATAGTTTTTATTGTAAAACCTTGTGAAAAATAAGGGTTTAGGGTTTAATAGTCCTTAGGTTATCTATGTATTTTTGTATGTCCTTATGTATCTTTGATGCATTTGAGTTGACTGATTGTTACTTGTTTATCAACTTATTATTCTCCTTGAAGCTTTTAAGCAAGAGTTAAGTATTGTTCTTAGTGAAACTTTTAAGCAAACTAAGTATTTATAATTTGGAAGTGTGTTCTTCCTTTTTGGTTTCTTGAGACATTCCCAGGGACTGAGATTGTTTGATATCAATGCGGTGATTAGAAGTGAGTGAGGTTCTCATATCTAGGAGGTGCCTAGGTAGAAGTTGCACTGGGTAGGGATTAAGTGGGGGTGTAAACTGGGACTGTTTAGCTCTGAATTGATACTACTGATATTGGATTTTCTTCCTGGTTTGATAGCCCCCAAAGTAGATGAGTTTGCACTGAACTAGGTTAATAATTATGTGTTCTTTTACTTTCTGTAAGTTATAATTCTGAATTGTTGTTATCTTGTTGTTGTTCTATCAGTAGGTGTCATAACATATATTGTGACATTGTGTGTTATTGAGACATCTGTCTTGACTTCTGATATTGTGTGTGCCAGAATTTCAAATAGTATATGTGAGGATGTGATTTTATGGTGTTACTTGTCGTGTAATGCTAATTGATGGTTAGTCACGATGAAAACATTTTATTTTGATTGTTGTGATTGATTGAATTAATGATTACCCCATGAGGGGTGTTGATATTGATGTTGAGATGATTAATAATGAGAAATTATATAACCTTGATTTTATGTTGAGATTTAATAGTTAATTATGTTTACGGTGTTTGGTTCAAAGATCGAACCGTTAGTGTGACCTTATATTGATATTAATCTTCTTATGCTGAGTTTTGGAGATGGAGGTAGTGGTGAGCCTTCATGTATTATGTATGTAGAATTCATGCATCATGTAGAGAGGTGATAGGTGGGACTTCGGTCTGTTGGCGAGTCCTGATCTAGAGATGTGATCAGTGATGAATCCTAATTCATAGATGGAATTGGTGAGGAACTCATGGTTTAGAGATATATCCATTGATGAACTCAGGGTTTAGAGATGGAACCCGTTGATTAATTTAGTAAAATAACTCTGAAACTTTCAAACATCGGTACCATATGCATTAGAGTAGAGTCGAGATATCCATTGCATACATGATATTACATGGTGATTGATTAATGATTGATTGAATTATATTATGTATCTATCTTTGTTGTATTATACACCGCTAACATGGTTTAAATATATTATCACTCATGTTTGCTTTGTTTGTGGTGTTTTATACTCTCGTGGTACATATACTCAGGTAGAAGAGACCTAGTTGCTGTGAGTTGGAGGGTGGTGTTGAAGTCTCTTCATTTTTTTTCTTCGTGTTATTTAGTTTTTGTTGATACTCTGATCTATAACACTAGGTCTAGGAAGTTTTGTCGTTGTTTTGAGTTGTTGTTTAGATATTTGATTAATCAAGTGATTTATTTTATTGAGACAATTTAACATATGTTTATTGTTGAGTTTCGATGTTGTTGTATGTTTTATTTGGAAGAGTATGTTTGTTGATCATGTGTAACACCTGTTTTGGAGAAATATTTATTTATCTTTTATAAATAAAGAGTCAGATTTTTAGGGTGCTACACTCTTCACTTGCCCCTGCCAGCGATCAGCCTAGGAGCGTACACGACATGCCCTCGTCCTACAAAGCAGAGACAATAGATTAGGGGCAAGTGTTCTGGGTCATTCGCAAGAGCGCCATCAAGCGAAAAGCCCAAAAGCGCCATCAAGCGAAAAAGCGCACGGAACATGTGGAATAGATGATCCCTCATTCCAACAAGGGTGGGTGATTCCGCCCTCGAGACGCGTCAATCACTGTTCGGTTAAGTTCAACGGTCATCCGCACAATGTGTCTTCTCTCATGCATATGGTTTTAACCGCTCACACTATATAAAAAAGAAAACGCATAATTTCAGATTTTCAAATCTATTATCCCTCTCACGTTACATCTTATTCTCACACAAACTTACGTGTTGAAATGTTAACCTTGAAAATCAATCTCCCCTAAGTCGTACCAAAAATTTGCTCTTCCAAACTAAAAACTCATCTCACCATATCACCAATCATTTATGGTTCTCGGGTGAAACAATTCACACAAACTACCATCATTGCCTCCTAGTCCTTCTGTGCAGAATGTCTTTTCAAACATGCATCGTGCCCTTAAGGCTACCCTCAACAGCTTTCTAAATAAGAGTGATTACTTCAAAAGAAAGCCCACACTTAGAACAAACTTACGATAGTAGCCAGCACTGCGTCTAGCTTATTGAAGAAAGAAATTGAACACAATGTTGTAATACCTTCTTTTTTTCTAAATTATGTAATACTTTCTTTTTTTTCTAAATTATAATACCTTCTTTTTTTTTTTTTGGTCTAGATTATAATACCTTCTCTTTTTTTTGTCTAGTTTATAATAACTTCTTTTTATGCATATAAATAATAACATAATAACTATTTTTAATTGAAATTTTATTGTGCTAATACGTTAATTAAAGCTAAAATTTTATTGGGCTGAAGATGCATTTTTCGTTCCATGACTGCACTTACATACTGTAGATGATTTATATTTTCTACCACGAACATGTGACAACTAAAATGGAGCTGCATAAAACTGATGAAAGAAAAAGGAAATATGTACATTCAAAATGTTTGTCAAACCTAGCCTTGGAGGTAGAGAGAATATTCAGCTGAAGATTTTGAATGAATTGGAACTAGATACATGATTAATCTAAATAAGTTACAGCACATATAGACCCCTACGAATCTCCCCCACCCACCACTTCCCCCTAAAATGTATACAAATTTACTATGTAACATGACCTACTACTAATCCTTCGTTGAGCCCGAGACATGTGAATTACCTGGTGTCCCATGAAAATTTAATAAATATGAAAATTGTAACCATAAAAACTCCAATCTTTCACAGGCCAACCCACTTCACCCACCTGAAAACCCGACCAACTCTCCAGGGCAACTCATAATCTTTGGCGACAGCAGGCTCCCTTCTGGCCACTTCAGGTTCGGGCCAAACATATACCCCTCGCTCCTGCTGACTGCCAGGTACAGTATTATCCAGGATAACAGCAACAAGAAATGCAATCACCATGTGTAGTGAACAAAGTGTGTTCAGGACATAGCTCAACTGCAAAAGAAACAGATTAACAAGTATCTTTCAGAAAAACCAGACATGTTAGCTGAATTTATAAACAAATGCTAGCTGACACTCATTTCAACACACATTCTCCTATTGGTTTGAATTGATATATATCGCACCAAATTTATGACCCGCATAATTTAGTGACTCGTTTGAAGGTCAACCTATAAAAGGGAGTGCTTAAGGAAAGTGTGTTAGACTGCGTGTTAGCAACCAATTCCACATATTCAAAAGATTTCTACTAGTGTTTTTAACCATCATTCAAGGATTAATATAACAAGGGAATCACTTATCTAAAGCTAACTCTGCATATTCGTTTTTGTTAGCTCACTGCACAAATTCAAGATGTCATAATTTGACTTAAAAATATATGGAATCAACAAACTATTCCCTATTGAATGAGGGTAGCTTCAGCTTCCAATCACAAAATCATGGAGATAAATATTGCAATATCAGCACATCCCCCTGAGAGAATAAAGTGGCATTTAGATTACTTATTACCTTTTCCAAAAATCTCACAATGGTTAACAAATTTAAATCACAAAAATTGACCAAGCAAATTTAGGACGTCATAAGAGAGAAAAACATGACAAATGGCATACCCCTCCATACTTGAGGTGGAAAGGCCCATGGGAAGCAACAATGTAGGGCTGAAAATAACTCGGCACAGACACGTTGGAATTCGGAGATATGCCGTATTGTTGAAAGTAGGCCGGTATGGAAAGAGAGAAAAACAATGATAACCCAACTATGATGATATTGCGAGAGCTTCCAGCCTCACTATAGCGTAGATTTGATAAGCCCCAAGCTGTGAGCATTGCCCACATAAAGCAGAGCAGACCAGCAACCATAACTTCAGGAATTGAAGCAATGAACCCTCCAAACTTACCTGTTGTACATAATAAGAATAATTAAACATGGATAAATTTGCATGAAATATTTTCTATAAATGAGTCGTATTATTTGGTTTGTCCTATGGCTTATGCGGCCACAAAAAGGGATAGGATGAGCATAAGAATTGTTAAGAGTCCCACATCGGACGATATATGGCCTGAACATGTGTTTATAAGTGGGGGCAGTCCTCACCCTACAAGCCGGTTTTGTAGGGTTGAATTAGGCCCAACCACACCTTAATATGGTATCAGAGCCTCGTTTAAGATCCAGTGGACCATCCACCATTTATTTCCACGCTCCAGTTGTCTAATCCTGGGCGTGAGGGGGTGTGTTAAGAGTCTCACATCGGACGATATATGGCCTGTGTTTATAAGTGGGGGCAATCCTCACCCTACAAGCCGGTTTTGTAGGGTTGAATTAGGCCCAGCCACATCTTAATAAGAATCAACAGCTTTTCTCCCCTGAACCATTTTGGAACAAAGAGGGATGAAACAAATATGCCTCGGAAAAAATTGAGTAATTCAAAGTTTTTAGATTTTACATGTCCCGTGTTTGTGTCTATTTGTGATTCTTAAGTAAAGAGGTTATGAATTGGTGTTAAGATAACATACTAATGACTGCAACTTTAAAATAACATGGTCTGATAAATTGGCAATATGCAGCATAGGATGCAAAATCATTTGTAAATATTTTGGATGAGATTACTAAATTTCAATGGTGGCAATATTATGTAATCATATTTTCCCTGATAGTGCCAACCAACTGCAGAATCACAAAATGTTAACAGTACTGAATACAGAATACTGCATTGACCAATATTACATTAAGCAGCAAGTCAAAGAAGTGACAAATATATTCTACAGGCATGTTCAGTAATTCATAGAATAAAATCATTGCTCAGTAACCCGAAGTAATGGTTTTGACTTTAAAATTTCAGCTGCAAACTTTGGTATGTGCTGAATATTTCAAACTATAAATTGACTGTCAGCTTACAAACATTCTATACAGTTAGAATCTCAAAAACCAGCTTCTCTCAGAATCATTTAGGGCACAGGTAAATGCATATAAAACAGACAGACTTAAGACCTAGCATTAATGACATGAAAAATGTATATTAAAAACTCATTAGTGTGTTATCTAATATCAAGAATCAAAAGCCTTTAAATGCCTAATGCCCATTGCATCTATGATCTATTGCCTACCACAGTTTATTATCTACTTCCACTCTCAACTGTGGTTATACCAGTCTAAGACATTATACATCAGATGTGACTTCATAAAGCCTTATGCTTTATCAATACTTGATGCATGTTACATAAAGGCTAAATATTCACAATAAACTGTAAATTTTAACATCACTGGCTAATTTGATAGCAGTAAGCAACTTGGGCCACAAAAACAATACCACTTTGTTCATTTGTTAGAAATTTTTTATCAAGTAAAAATTGCAGTAATCATATGTTAGGAAAAAAATTGGCATGAGATTAGAAACTAAAATTTCACTAAATTGTCATAATAGATGAAACTAATGAAGAACTTGCTATTTATTTTACTCCCACAAATTTTTCTACGAGTCCTGAAGTGAAAAGATCATAGTTGAAAACATCATTGCTTTAACACACAAATTTGCCTAATTGCCATAGACCAGCAAAATGTAAACTTGGTGTCTTCTGACAAGGAAACTAAAGAAATTGAATGATGGATAATATCACAAACATCTTGACTGCAAGAGTTTTTCTGACAGATATCAAATAAACATAGCCCAAATCGCTTTTCACTTTTCATCTTTAAAACCCATTGCTCATAAATAAGTGTACTTCCAATAAATGTTAAAACTAAGAACAGGATGGTAAAAGAATCTCTTACCAATGACTGACAACAATATCAGAAAGCATGCGCCCAGTTGAACAGCCATACGGCTTCCCATTTTAGTCACAGCAATTGTATGAACATTTTCAGTTAAAGTTGTAGACCCAGTTCCAGTTCCCCAGAGACCAGCCAAGACACTAGAAATACCTTCCAAACCAATTCCTCGACTAAGAACTCCCGGAGTTGGAGGTCTTGATGCTACCAATAGAGAAGATGCATGGTATGAGCCAACCTGCAAAGTAAATGAATATCAACAACAAAATTTTGTGATTTGTCAATCCTGCATATAGAGAAAAATAGAAAGAACATTTTGTCTTAATTTAAAGATAGTAAATTGTTAGAAGGGGAGTCTTGGCACAAAGGTTGGAGTTGCGGTCACGTGATTGGAGATCATAGGTTTGAGTCATGGAATCAATTTGTTGCAAATACGACATAATATTGCCTACAACAGGTTCACAAATAGTTGTTATAGGCACTTCACTGATAAATCTTGCAGTTAAAATGATGAAGTTGCAAAAAGTCTTAGCAGAATAGCACATATAAGTTTCCTACATGCATCCATGTCATTATTATATTAAAATAAGTATCATTTTGGGCTTTTTGGCCAGTCCTTATTATAATTTTCCACCAAAGCCACTACCAACTTTAAGAAAATAACAAACTATAAAAATGATACAAGGACCAAGTACAAAACCAGTTTATGATAACACAAAAACACAATATTAAATATTCAGAAAGAACTAAGATAAATACCGCCCAGAAACAAAAACAGAAAAGGACATAAAACTAACCGAATCCACGGATGTGATTAAAGAAACCACACACATTACAAGAGCCATTTTCCAGTGAAAGACAGGAGTACCCCATTGTAAAGGATAGGGAAATCTAAACCATGGGGAGGATTTCAAAGCCTGAGAAGTATCAACCCGACAATGCTTCATCCTAGAAAAATGCTTTCTGCAATGCTCTGAAAGCATATTTGATGCAGGTATATTTACATCACACCCTTGGTAGCTGTAAAATCCTGATTCAGTAAGCAAGAAAGCATATGCCCATGTAATTGCTAGACCAAGAGGAATCTGGCAGTTAGGTGAAGAAAACAGATCATTTATTACACCGTCGGATTTTATTTCAACTACTGTTGAAACTTAAAAAGATAACATAACATTCAACTTACTGCATAGATTAGAAATATGCGATGTCCAAGAACAGATATCTTACGAAGATACTGTACAGACCAAGAAATAACAGAAAACAAATTTTAGCACAGTAAGCAATACAATACGCACAGATGACCTTTTAAATATATATTTAGAAAAGAAATAGGCCAAATAAACAAACTTACAAGAGAAAAAACAATAACCACTAATATTTGTACTGCTCCGATCTCAAGACATGTACCAACTAATGGGAATCCATAACTGAAAAATGAAAGTCCAACTGCAGCAATAGTTGGGGATACAACTACAGGATTGATCAACCTGAAACAAAACTCATGAAACGGGAGGGTCGTTATCAACTGAATCGAACAGAAATAGTATAAAAAGTTTTCATTTCGAAAAGCCACTCAAGTGATTTAAATCAGGAGGACGTGCAAAGGATAAAGTTCCATGTTGCTACCAAAGGGAGGGGGAATGATGCATAGGACACTACTATATGGGTTAGAGCCATATGGAAATACTATTCAAACAAGCAATGGCCAACCCTTTCATGGAAAAATGATCCCAATATCTTAGTTATTAAGACTGAAAGTTACAATTTCTAAACCAACAACTCGTCAAAATTAGATAACAGCCTTAATTATTGAACAACCAAATAATGATGAATATCATTTCCTTCTAAGAGTATTTATAAAGTACTCCAAAAATATATTTCTTATCCAGCTAATGTAAATATATTAGAGCAACTTGCCCAACACTGTTTGGGGGAGGCAAGGAGGGAATTTTTTTATAAACCTGCCACATAAGATTCCCATTAAAAATACATTCGCATGAACTTACTATTATTAGTCTCTATGTTTAATTTTAGATGTCCTCTCTTATCTTATCATTGCATTATTTAATTAATTCTTATCACAATGCTAATAAGAGTTAGCTCAACTATTAAAATTGAATTGTGTCAATATTAAGGTGTTAAGAGTGACATGCCCATTCCCTCCGTCTACAGCAATAGCAAATCATTTTGGTGAAACAATGAAACGTTGAAGCATGTCCTAATAAAAACGAGTAAGAAAAATAAACAAGCAGAGAAAATCACAAAATTATACCTAATTAAGAGCGACATAAGTCCAGTATATCCTAGGAAAGCTTGAAAAGCAGATCCAATAATTATAGCCCCCTGAAGCTCCCTCATTATATGCTGGAATTTCTGCAAATTGAGTAAGAAGACTTATCAGCTGCCTTTGTCTCAATTATGCCACCAAAAATTTATAACACGACAAAATCCAATGAGACCTTACGAATAAAAAGATTTTTTTAAACACTTTTGGATGAAGCTTGATATAGACAAACATACATACGTTTCCATTTAATGCTTGTAATTCCGGGGAGTTTATTATCGCCAGAGCCGGCGCCAAGTAAACAAAAGAAGGTCCTTGTATCAAGGGCAACCTAGACCCAAAATTAATATGCAACAGAGTAGTCAACCCCGAAACAAAGAGCACTGTTGATACCACCTTAGCAGTTTCCTCCTGCATACTCTCACTGACACATTAGATAACAACACTACATACATACAACAACAAGAAGAAAGAAAGAAACAACTAAAGAAGTAGAAAATACTCACATGAGAACCTCCCATTGCAGGAACAATGACAAGTGGAATGAGAATCAATGAACCTAACATCGAAACGAAATGCTGAATACCATACACACTAATAGGAACTACACAAACACAACAAATTTTCAAAATTAGAAAGAAATATAAAAAAGAGGGAAAATCGTTGAAATCAAAATCAAAACCAAAACTCCAAATTCCCAAAACACCTCCAACTAATACCTAAACCAGGAAAATCTCTGAGCTCATACTTCATATGAGGGTGCCTAGACGCTAATCCTTCATCATCCACAACCAAACCATCAACCACTTCTTCATGCCTCAACGTTCTCCGCACCTGCGGAGTCTGGTCCGTCACCGGCGCTGGATTCGCCTGACCGTTAGTACTCGGAACACCATCAGAATCCCTCCGTTTCTTCACCGTTTGGTCTTTAACAACCGGAACCGATACCGGAATGGTAACATTGTTACTCTGTACAACTCCGTTTGCCGGTGGAGGAACACGACCAGCTTCAAGATCCAGTTGCGGTTGCGGTTCAGGTTTTATCTGACCGGAATCACTAGCATTAGTCTCGCCGGAGAATTTCGGCTTGAAACCAGTTTTCTTTGCCCAAGAAGACGGTGGAATTGGTTTAGCATCAGTCGGCGGTGGCCAAGAACCGTGACGTAGATCGGAATCGGAATTGGACATTACAGCGAAGAAGCTAGAACTCACGCATGGCTTGAAACGGTTGGTTATAGATCTGGTGAGTGGTGGCGCGTGACGTGGCGACAATGTGGAAGTGCGAAGGGGTTAGGGTTTTGGGTTTTCCAACGGCGGAGGATGGAACAGAAAAAGAGAGTGTTGAAGTGAGTGAAACTGAAAAATGAAGCCAATGGTTGACGGAACTAGTTAAGTTGAGTCTAACTTAGAAGTGTGGACTTAAACATGGTTATTAATTAATTAATTGACTAATTAAGTACACTAATTAATGAATTTTTTTTATGGTTTCTTTGAATGTTGTTGTTTCCCGGGACAATCGGAGGATGTAAATTATGTATGTTTGGATTAAGAAAGCAAACAAGTGGGAGATTTGTAATACCCGGTCAAACTGAGGACTCATAGGAATGATTCAATAAATCATTTCACTTTTTAGAGGCAAATAATTCAAAACTAAATTTATTTAAAAACTAGTAGGAGTAATAAATAAAATTAAAGATGAGATAATGTTCGATTTAAGATGATGTTAAATTAATAATAAATAAAATAATATTCGATTTAAGATGATGTTAAATTAGTATTAAATTAAAATAGAAAGTGTCATAGAAGGTTAACACTTCAACGCTCAAGTTAGTGATATAATGATAAATAATGTGAAAATGATAATGGATTTTGTATATTCTGGAGTATTTTTATCAAAGTTGGGACGTGTACTCGGACAAAGAAAGGAGCATGGGATAGTATATAGGATCGCCCTTTGAAGACTGAGTTTGACTACCTTAACAGATTCCTAGTCGAGTATGTGAAAGATGGGATTACATAGTCGAGTACCTACCGTGATGGGTTTAGGGCCGAGAAAGTTATACCTGAGTATAAACTCGGCTCGCCGAAGACCACTTACATGAAATCGTGTCAAGGTAGAGCAAGAGTTGTAACGGTAGTTGGGTGATTGAAGTAAGTGTTATAGGGCCTTGATTGTGCTTTATTCATGGTGATGGCGGTTGTTACAGCATAATGAATGAGGAAGAGATACGGAATGATGTGCCTTTTAGGAGGCATTGAAGAACATGGGAAGGCTTATATAAAGGGACCTTCAGAATTGGAAGATCATGAGATACACATACAAACACATAACATCACACATTTGTGACTCGCCTTGATCATTAGCAAGGAAGTCAACCTTTTAGTGTTTTAGCAAGAACATTTGGCACCCACCGTGGAGCTTCAGTAAAACTTGCTCAGGCCGCACATCAATACCACGCCCAGAAGAATGTCGACCGACGAGGTTCCTCCAGATATGGCACAATTACTAACCACGCTGGATGTTATTCGTCAGCAAAATGAGACATTGCAAGATAGCGTACAAGTTTTGTAGTTATAAAGTCAGGGGGATGAGGACGAGGAAGAGGAGCTTTTGGATCCCCAACTGCTCTCTAAAGTGATATGGGACAATCAAGTCTCGGAGAACTTCAAACCTCTATCGCTGGTGTCCTTTAACGGCAAGACCGACCCACATGAGCACATTATCGCCATTAATAATCAAATGGCGATAGTGGGAGCTTCTGACTCGCTGAAGTGCAAGCTCGTGGTTGTAACCTTCAAGGACGTGGCTTTGAAATGATATATGAGTCTCTCACGAGATTCTCTCGTGAGCTATCAAGACTTGATGAAAAAGATGGTACAACACTTCTCGGCAAGTAAACACCGAAAGGTGTCAACGACTAGCTTGTTTAATGTCCGACAATCACAATCAGAATCTCTTATAGAGTATTTAGCGCGATTCAATAAAGAAACTATCAAGGTTTCTCATCCTAATTAATAGATGTTTGTTGGGGCCTTTCAGCATGGCCTCAAAGTCGGGCAGTTCAACGAATCCCTAGCATAGAAGCCGACATCCAGCATGGATGAGATAATCACTATAGCAGAATATAATATAAAGGGAGAGGAGAGAAATATAGAAAAGAGATTCTGAGATGCTAAGGAGATAAAGAAGAACAAGGATGAGGGGGAGGTATAGAGAAAAAGGTTATCCCAAGGTCAGGTCAAGAGATCGGCCTATACAGAGACCACTTCAACTACCCTTCGAAAAAAACGGTGATTTAACACTATTAAACACCACGAGGGAAGACATATTGAGAGAGGTGGGCCACCTCAATTTTTTTCCCGAGTTGTGGAGCCCAAAGGGTTCAATACGATAATGGGAAAAGAATAAGGAGCTTGGTGCGTTTATCACCGACTTCGTGGTCACCACACGGAGGACTGTCACCAGCTCAAGAAGGAAATTGAAGCGTTGATTCAAAGGGGAAGTTTGTTATCATATGTTAAGGACATCGGAGGGTAATCCAGCAAAAGGAGCCCCCCTAGGGATGATTTTAACCCAGAGAAACCTTCGTAGAAAAAAGGTAAAGGTGTAGAGGAGGTACGCGAAAGCCGAGTGGCATACGCTTAACACCATTGGCTGCAGATTTGCTGGTGAGGGTGAAACTAGTTCAGCAAGAAAAAGGTACGCTTGGCCATAATGCATGTCTCACGGGAGTTGTCGACAGATCAAGAGGATAACTCGGCATCCGTTAGCTTTTCCAAGAGAGATGCAGTGGGCATGTTAACTCATGAAAACGATCCAATGGTAATCAAGGACAAATTAGAGATTGGAGCGTGAAGCGGGTTCTAGTTGACCCCAGGAGCTTAACCGGCGTGTTATACTATGATGCTTCCAAAGGCATGGACTTCGACATTGTCATACCCTAACTTTTGACCTAGGATTCCACTTATTTTGCATCATTGCATAAGATCAAGAGATCATCCCATTCATCATTTGCATCACTAACCTTAAAGACACAAAAATATGCATTGCTTGTTTGTTGCTTTTGTAATATAGCAATTTTAAGTCAATGGTCCTCGGAGACTCAAGTTCCTCATTCATTCATGATGATAATCATCATATTCATCACAATCTCATCACAATAGGGTTTCATCATTGGGTTCATCAAAGTGCTTGAAGGAGATTATGGTTTTGGCTCCTCATATGAAAAGTCATGAATTAGGGTTTGGTATTTGCAATTATGTATCACTCAAGAGTTTATCATACCATCATCTTATGGTGTTCAAGGGTATCTTAATATGTCAAAGAATGCATCATGATCATGAGTTTTCATTGAAATTAAAATGTTTAAATTCATCTGATGGAAAGTCAACTGCAAAGTTAAACATTGACTTTTTGAGTTTTGTAGTCAAAAATGAACTTCTCAAGATAAATTTCATGAAAAAATGGTTGATGAGTAAAATTGATCAAGAGAAAACAAGAAATTTGAGGTTACTCGCAAAAAGGGCAAAAAAATGAGAAGATTGAAAAAAAATTAAGTGTCAAAATATCATGGTCAAATAGCCAACTTCTCAAGCTTGTAACTTCCAATCCAAGCAACCATTTTCATGCCCAAGAGACGTACTTAAAAATGGTTCTACATACTTCAACATTGTAGAAGGAATTATTTGAAAAGTTCATAAGGATTGGAAGATATGAAGTGCTAAAGATGGTTTCTCAAAGTTGTTGAAATTGCCAAATAAGAAATTTTTTTAAGTGTTTTCAGCTTAAAAAATCAATTTTGATGGGAATTTTTAACTATTATCCCAATTGATTCAAAACAAGTTATCAACATTAAAGTTGTAGGGGATGTTTCTAGCTTTCCAAAGATACCAAGAGCGTGAATTTATCATACTTGAGCATATAGTTTCGAAGAGATGAAGATGGCATACCAAAGTTGAATCTTAGGTCATTTTCAAAGGCAAGTTTCATAGCAATCTCAAATCTTAACATGAGATCTTTCTTTATAGGACCTCTTGCTTCCAAATATCAACCTAATCAGAGATTTACACAAACCCTTGATGCATTACACAAAGATTTGAGGTTTTATCTAGTTCACCATGCCACTTTTGAAAGAATATGCAAAAAGCTCCATATCAATCTTCATAAAGATCACTTTAAACACAATGTCAATACATTGAGCCCATACTTTTTTATATCTTATCACACTTTATTAATAAACTCAGAAGCAACCTCCTACAACTTAGAAAAGCATCCATATTGCCCTTGATTCATTCCTTCCATCACCTTTGAACCATAAAGCCACTTGATGTATTTTGTAACCAAATGACAAAACCAACATTGCAAGTGAACTAAAACTAGTTTCGTCCACTTATGAGAACCAAATTCCCCTATATAAATAGACCTTAATGCTCATAACCCAAACACACACAAAATGCACAAGAAAACTCCATTCTTATAACTTTAAAACCTTAACTTCGAATTTTCCATTTCTCTCAAGTTCTTCCATTTTTTATTAGAACACCTTTTATATACCACAAAGGAAGTTGTGTATGCACTACACAACATCTGTAGCATCAGAATCACATACTCAATTTTTTACTTTTTACACTTGCAACTTAAGTTGGTTGGGACACTTGAGAAGGTTTCAAGGGATTCTATCAATTGCAACACATCATTGGAGCATCAAGGGTGCTAGAGGAATCGATTCCAACCTCTGAAAGCAGTTAAATATGAGTTCACCATCTCCACATACAAGGTAAAAAATTTGGACTTAGAACTCAGTAATGCATGCATCATTTGTGTTTAGTTTCTAAAGCAAAAATGTAGTCTTTATTATGCCGATTGCAAACCCTAAACTAATTTCAAATTATCATGCTTGTCTGGGGAGTTTCGATTGATTGGAGTTTTAGGGTTTCTTCTGATTATCACTAAAAGTAGTTTGATACAGTGGATATAAATTAATTCTAAGCACATATTTGAGTTCCTTGAGAAAATTTAAGCAAATTTGCTTTTTACACTTTTTAATTTAGTTGAGAAATAAGAAAGATCATAAAACCTCCATTGATGAATTCATAAGGAAGAAGATGATGTTCAGATGGCGCCAAAATTAAAAAATAAAATGTTGTTTTAATATTTATTTAATGGAATGTTTTTATGTTTCGAATTG